CTTGCCTGTTACAACATGTATTGCTGAAAGATCATTTTCAACTATGAAATATTAAAAACTACTTAAGAAACAGTACATCTGAAATGCGTTTAAATGAGCTCTTTGTTATACACATTAAAAATATATCTATAAGTGAAGAAGTTTTAAATGTTTTAACAAAGAAAAATAAAGAAAATTATTAATTAAAACAAAAGGAGAATTTTAAAAACTTTGTAAAAACTAATAAGTCCTGAATTTTTCATTGTACTCCTCGCACCTTTTTAAACTTTTTTTTTTTTTTTTTCCAACCATTAAGTGGTATCAGTTTTTCAATAATGTTGGATTTCACCGATTCTGTTAAATAGGAATTTTTGTTCTTAGAGTATACTTATTATTTTTTTTAAATGTTCCTTATTTGTGAAATTTTTATAATTTGATAAAAATTATATTAACCCTTGAACGGTTTTAATTGGGAGAAATAAGATTGATACAGCGTATTCTTTAGTTTTTATATCAAGTGGTAAATCTAAACAAATGAAATTGCTTCATTCATAGCAATGACGATATGTCCCCCCTCCCCCAAATTAATTTCTGGATACGCGACTGGAAATGAAACCTATTATATCAAATGCACTCATGTGCGCATTCACGAAAAAAATTATCAATTACAAAAAGAAAATTTTCCTATAGTATTTCACTTGTTTCTCATATTAAAATACTTTATTAATCACAAGCAGCTTCTTTCTTTCTTTTTTTTTCTCTATTTTTTTTAATTAGACAAATAAATCATAGCATGAAGGAATTTGGATTTCAAGTCCTTGATAATATTACATTACTTAAGATATAAATCCATTACTCAAGATTTACATATAGGATCTTTGGAACTATAATACCAAGCAGCCATTTCGCAGTTTAAGTATGATTCTGTTCGCCCTACGCCATGCAATAGTTTAAAACATATCAATTTTTTAAATGTTTCAAGAACGTTGTTCCAGCAGTACTGTAACATATCTTTGAGCTGAATGTTCTGAAAACCACCTTGTGTTTCCAGTAAAACTCAAAATTGTAGCATTCCTTTTCAGAAAAATTAAATTTCTGTATTATATAAAGGTAATTTAACTGAAAATCTATACATCTCTGATTATTTATAGCATGCCTATGATCAAATACATAATATATTTTCTCTTCGAGAAGAATCGATCTGTAGAGGAAACTCTACGGTAGAGAAACTCCCTTTTCGCCCTAATGTTAATGTATTCATTCATTTCTCTTTGCAGGTTTCATTCAGATACGTTATTTTATAGATAAGTAGTTTATCGCATCAATGCAGGCGACTCTGAATAAATTGGATGTCAGATCCACCTGTCTGACATTCAATTTATTCAGAGTCGCATGCAATAAAGGCAATAAACTATACATCTCTAAAATAAATAAACACCGATGTTTTCATTTCAGGTTACCGTCAAATATTAATATAAAACATGGGGTTCAGCGTGCTACATTTCTCACAGTGGCACGCACCAGACCTGCTGATGAACACGATATGGAAAATGGACGGTTGAAGGTTTTGTTTTGTTTAATGTGTTCTGGGCAGCATCCAATAACCCAAAGAATATACTATTGTAAATCATACATTTTTCGCAACCGTTTTTTTTTTTCAATGAAAAAAAATTCCGCAAAATACGCATAATATATACCCGTATCACTGAGTTATTTACAGTAGATTCAAGACATAAAACAACTGCTGTACTGAATAAGGGATTAACAATTTAAATTTATGTTCTAATTTTAGTTGCAATGTACTCTTGATTATCCGACTGCGGATTATCCACGCGCGGCTTCGGCCACGCATGCAACACTTAAAGATACACAAAAAAGTGTATAAAAAAACAAAACGAACAACTCGGAGCATGCTCTAAAAAACCGCCGAACTGCGTCTTTAAATTTAGTTTCAACGATTACTTCGTACATTTCGTTCTGCCATGTGCATAGTCAAAGGTATCGTTTCGGTTGATCAATGGAAATTTTACTTCTTATCATTTTGCCTTGTTGTGCGCAAATATCGATCGGGAAAACATCGAAGAATGATTCGATTGAGTCGAGATTTCAATGCTTGAGCGATGCGGATATCATTTCAAATGTCACAAGAACAGAAGAGGCAAAAATACTGAGACTGAAATGATATTGAAAATACAAGCGAAGAAATTACTGACAATTAGTTCCGTAACAGCAATGACGTAGAAACTATATATTGGACTTCGTCGACCACAGGGGATTCGAATACAATGATATAACACTTCAGTGAAATTCGATAAATATTTAAACGTTCTCAAAGTAAAATTATTGATTTTTTTAAAGAAATAAACACATGCAATATGCATGAAAATTGACGGATTATCCGTGACTTGCTTCCCCGGCATTAGGCCGGATAATCGAGAGTACACTGTATATACAATTTTATTACCTGTGACTGTTGGTACCAAACACCACAGATTATCCTTCAAAAGAGGAGAGGAACTTTTGGACTTTTGAACCCATTAGTTATGTTTCTGTTGCCTCTTTCCCTTAATTGCAAAATCTTTCTTTATGATATTATACCAAGAATTCTTTAATTTTATTAGTACATAACAAACACATATCTTCACTTTTGTTACAACGAAATGCATTTTGAATTCTCAGCATGCAGCTTAGCACTCTGGTTTTGAAAATCTTCTCCATAGTACCTGTTTAGGAATCACAGCATATAGTGACAAGTTTATGTACGACCGTTTCTTCTTTGAAAAACAGTATGTTTGTTTATATGATCACGGCAAAACCTCAAGGGCTATTTGCCTAATGGGAAGGACGCCTTTGCGGAGAGCTTTCTAAGGTAAAATGGCTCGTATAAGCGTTACACATGCGCCCATGCAGCCAGCCCGTTCGTGGGATTCGAACCTCCGACCGAACTTCCAGTGTTCAGCGACTTTACCGCTCGGACACTGGAGGGCCTGAAAAATAATACGAATTATAGTATTATGATAAGGTGGCATAAAGGTTCTTTGTCTAGGATGAGTTTTTAGAATGCAATAGTTTTCATATCAGTGGTGAAATCCTGCGCCTTTGTTAATAATTCCGGTTGCAGCCTCGAAGGTCACTCCAGTGAACAAAGAGGTAAAAGAAGTCTTTTCATCAGGGTCAGGAGATGGACACTTTGTTACGTATAGTGAAAGAATCATCCCCCCCGGGAGTCAGCGCAAGTAAACACAGGGAGGTAAGGTGGTTTCCTGAGAAGAGGGAACAGCTTTCCTGTTTGGAGCTATGGGCATGTTGGCCTGCTAGAACGATCATTCCTCGTGTATAATGCGATAGAGCATTTTTCCTGTAACAAAATTCTGAAATTACGGGGCTAAATGTATCCAAGTCCCATACTGTCAAGAATCGCAACTGTTAATGTTTTTATCTTATTAAAATTCATGTTATTGTTAGAACTTGAGTTTGAAGTTCATTTCAAAACTTGAGTTTGAAGTTCACAACCCGGGGTTTGTGTAGCGGTTTCGGCCACTACACCACAGAATACAAATTTTGAAGAAATCCTAAAAAAGCAAGTTATTGTATTGTAATATACCACAATCTTAAAGGCCTTTCCATTTCGATTTATTACTTTAAACTGATAACACTGAGCCGGTCATCAATCATGCATTTTAATTTACTCTAATGCTTTTTGAATAATCAAGTTTAATTAGATGGTTAGAACTAGAAAAAGTATATATTACGCAACTAAACATTAAATGAATTACATGTACTTTCTATTTTACTGAGAGTCAGAAAACGATTGACCTGGATTATTTAATCCTTTGCGGCACAGTGAGTCGGGTCTGGACACACCTAAAAATTTCCTTCTGTACGCACAGAAAAATTGAATGAAAAAGGATTTATAGGTTACTATAGGTTTCTCTGAACCATCTTTATTTATACTAAATGGCAGCTCAACATGAACCAGTCCATATGTTTTAGCCATGTTTAGTTTTTAAGACCCTCATTTTTCAAAGAAATCTTCCAGATTTTTTTAGGGTATAAAAAATTGTTTTAAAAGAAATTTCTATGTTATTTTTTGGATGTATGCTAATCGCCTTATTCTATATTAGTTTAAAATTTTTACCTTGAAATCTTGTCTAAAATCGAAAGGCGAACCCTAGGCGTGCCCAGACCGATAATCTAGGACAACTGAGAGTCTGTATTCTTTGTTTCTCCGCATCTCATCGGTCAGTTCATTGACAACAAGGCTTTTTCAGCACTCTTTTCGAAGCTCTATTCAATCAGTGTACCCGCTCCGGGCACACCCACAGAATTAAAACGATAAGTGCTATTTTCACAAAATTTTACTTGTGTACTTCTCTAGGCCTAATTAGACTGCCTACCTTTTTTTTATCATCAAAACTCCAACTTTAAAAGGTAGCGTAACGGAAAGGGTTAATTATGGGAAGTCACACTTAAGGAAGAGAGATTGTTATAGAGGACTGCAAAAATTAATCTTGCATTTATTTTTGTTCCACGTGGGGGAAAACCGCAAAAAACTCATACAACCAGCCTGTTCAACGATCAGGAATAAAAGACGATACCAAGTACCAATGTAACGCAGCTTTAGCTACGTCGCCACTAAAATGCTTGAAAAACCAGAAGGAAAAAGCTGAGGCGATTAAGAATTTTCAAAAGTACATAAAATTCTTTAAATGGAAAGACAAAATATTATTTGATAAATGACTAGAGTTTCATATTCTTAGCATAATTTCAAAAGTAATAATTACAAAGTACCATAACATTTGAAACAGCTCTGATATTGTAAAAGGTCGCCATATTACAAGCGATTTTATAACAAATACTAATCTTTTTTTTTTTTTTTTTTTTAACTACGTTTCTATAGTCGCATAATTCTGCAGGTCTGTGAGGGTTTTGCTAATTTAAAACTAGAATTACGTCAAAATAAACAAAAATACATTACAGAAATATTTTTAGGAAAAATTATGCCATAAAGTAAAACTTACTTTGATTCCAGCACTTCTGCACTTGGCGACAGCATCAGGTACAGCTGCTCTAGGGGGATCAATCATGGCAATAAGACCAACAAACCTTAAGTTGTTCAGAGGAAAGTTCTGCTCATCTGCGTCGAATGGATAACCATGAGGGTAGCTTTCAGAAGGTAAAGGAAGATCACAAAATCCTAAACGGCAAATTAAAAAAAAATTGCCAAATATGTAATTTTATGCTCTAGAACTGAAAAATTATTAATTTAAACTAAATTTGTAGTCAGAAAACGATTTTTACATGCGATGATCTTATTTTATGTCATTTTCATTAATTTGTTAATTTATTTATTGCGCAAGGGATACAAAATCGTCTGCACGCATTTATATAATTATAATAAAATAAAACAATTTCTAAAATGAATTAAATTATACCATACTGTGTTCCCTGGTTACTCCAAAAGCAAAAGTTACGAACATCGTTACTTCAGACTGGCTGTATTTAGATAAACTGGCTAATAATGAATGAAAAATTAAGTTAATTGGCTGTATTTAGATAAACAAAATTCGCGTCCCCGCTTCTAAATGAATGAAATATATCATGAATTTTACTTTCAGCATGAAAATGTTTCATTAATTTTACTTTTTATTTGTATTATCAAGATTTTTGTCAATAAACGATGAGTTATTGATTGGATTACAGTATGAAAGAACAAAATTCTGCCACCAAACTTCAACTCAGCTTCTCATTAATTTGAATAATTATGCATAATTATGCACTGCACAATGCAATTCAGAGGGCTGAATTTTGGTTATTTTCTTATAATGATTTTTGATTCTTTCATAAAAATAATACATAATTTAACAAAAATATTTACAAAATGAAAAACTAACTTTTACAACAGCACATTAAGAATATTACTTAAATTCCCTACTAAAACAGGCAGAGAAATGTTCGAAACAAATCATATTTAACAAATCTCACCAATAACTCTTTCACCAAGTCCTCCTAATTCGAGGTACGCATTATTGAAAGCATCCTTCATTTCTTCGTCCAAGATTTTATCCTTTCCATTGATGAATATAGTTGAACAACGTTCCAGAATCCTTTCTGGAGCTCCTTTCATGCATAAGAGATAACTGGGATCCTTTTGGTCACTTGTTTCATGAACTGTTACCTATAAAGGACACTAATTATTACCTACACTATATAGAGGGACTCAAAAATGGCTAGAAAATATCTAAACAACGGAAATTAATCTTAAGTTTCGGCAGAAAGATTCTAGCTTATTCTTGCCCCCCCCCGGGGTAAGGTCGTTTATTGTACTGGCTAAGATCTCTACTCTGGCATTCTTGGCTCTGGAGACATAGTATACCCGAATCGTGTTCCATTTACCATCCTTTGGATACGCTGCGCGGCGAACCAGTCTAATACTTAATCTCCTCCTATGCTTAGTGAGCTGCTGAGGAAGTCAGCCTTCCTTAAACTGGGTACAGGTTAACAAGGCTTCGGGCCTTTAATGTTCTTCCGTGGAAAACTTTTGATAAATCTGCTTCTTTTGCCTCGCATGAAGTTGAGTGTAAAGGGTTGTCTCAAAGTTACTTTAATTAGCAGGAGTGGGTAAATAAATTTGATTGATTAGCTCATATTTTTATGCTTTAATAAGAATAACTCTGTCGACCAAACTAAACGCATTTGAAGTTTGTTTTTAATAGTTTCCCTTTGCCTTCTTATTCTGTTATAAATACGTGACATTAATAATAGGCTAACTATAACTGGGTTGAAAAGGCGTATATAGAATATTACGAAGTACATTATATTAAGATTCTCAAACAGTAGAAATTTTTAAATGATAAAAATTGATGAATCCGAGGTTATTATTACAATTGTTAATTCAAACTACGAACTATAGAAAAGTGTTCTGATAATGCACAAAGAAACAGAACGTAATCATTTGTCTCTGTTATATAGATTATGATTCACCCATTTCCGCTCTGTTATAGCTTACATGACAATTTGTGTTTTCATATAATAATGCCTGAAATAAAAATGTTTGCTTCTGTGTAACACCAGACATCATCACCTTCAAGATCAACTCTAATTGCATAACACCAAACATCATCACTTTCAAGATCAACTCCAATAACCATTTGAAGTTTCTCCACTCACGAATATTTCCTCTAAAAAAGTTTCTAATATCACATAAAGCACGTTTAAAAATAAATTAATAGTAAAAGTTTTTATTAAGAGGCTCCTATAGTAATATCACCAATCTGAAGTAAAACTAAATCTGTTCAGTGCTAAGTTTTAAAGAACTCTTAAAATTCTCTGTGTAGTACGTCTGTCAAAGCAGCTGTAACAATCTGCAGAATACAGATAGTTTTACGTACTTCAGAATAAATCAACCTATGCACAATGTATGATAAAAAAATGGCTTTATCCATTAGGGGAAAAAAGAGTAAACTTGAAAATAAAAGAAATTAATTAAATTGATACTTACATGATACTTATTAGTGGAGTTGAAAGGAATTTCACAAACTTTGGGATTCCGTCTCCTATAACCTGCTACGTCACCTACAGCTAATTCCATGCACTTTAAGATTGCAGATTCTGATGCGTCACCTGTACACTCTCTAAAAAAGAGAACAGAAAGATGGAATATGTATTACCTCACGGCTCAACAGTTTAAATGAAAATAATTAATTTTGCACGTTAAAAAAAAATCCATGTGTTAATGCCGGTATAATGGTTCAAAGCCAAATTCAGGCTTGATCCTATAAGGTTAAGACGGTTATTGCATTGATTTGTTGGTTTTATATAACCAATAAATCAATGCAATAATGACGCTCTTCTGCAGAAACAGAAGCCAGTTCAGAAAAAAATATCATTTATCTAACTGTTTATCTATTTATACCGACTTTTATGCGTAAAAATATGAAATTTAATTCTTTAAGCTGTATGGATGCATCCTGTTCTCTGCCACCATATTTAGGTTATACAGAAATGAATGACACAAATAAGAGCGGAATACAATTTATTAACAACAACAACAACAACAACAAAAAAAAAAAAAAAAAAAAAAAATGAAATAATCCCTGCCCATGTCAATACACTTCTGCCATCTAGCTGGGAGGTCCCAAAGGGCTTTGGTAAACCAGTCTGCGGGGTGTTGGTGCACCACCTATGGACAATTGCACGCAATTCTGCAGAAAATTAAACATGTTGGCCCCTGCCTGCATCCTTCATGTTGTCAAGCAAGGCGTAGTCCGATGTCTTGAATCGTGGTCCACCCACTTTGAACACACATTTGTCATCTCCAAATAACCATGCACAATCGCCTGCAATGTTCCTTGTGCAAGCTCAGTCTCTTCCTGCATCTTGTTGAACGCTGTGCTTCTTTTCGCTATGATCAAATCCGACAGGGTTGCCACATTTGCTGCTGTATGCGATGTTGCTGGTCATCTTACGCTGACACCTTTGGCTGCGGTCTCCACTGGTGAACTTGGCCAATCAAAACGGGATACGGTACGCCTTGAGGGTGCTTTGGTCCCGCACAACGACACCATGCGACGATGCATCTCATTACCCTGCATCCCTTCCTTCCATATGAATCACGCTGTCCAACGCTTATCGTGATCGTGACACCTTCCATCATTGCTGTCCACGCTCTCAATGACGACGGCGAAAGGGACGGGCGCTGACGTAAACAGTTTCGCTTGCGGCCAACGTCATCTAGGCATTCTGAGTAGCTCACGCCCCCTTGTGTATATTTCATTTGTTTTCCCTTCGCATAGTGTAATAGTTTCGTTATGAGAGCCATTGTGTCTATCATTTTTGTACGATCCAAGCAGTTATTTACCCATGCAAAGAAATAAGCTCATATTTTATAATAAGAAATTACACTGTTGTGTTCATTTTAAGGTTCTCGTTTTTCCAAGCAATATGACTGCTATAAAATTCTTTTTAAATTTATCGTTTAGAAAGTTCTACATGGTAAGTGTGTTTAAAATTTGCCTAAAGTTGTAGTACTGACAAAATTTTGTTGTCTTGAAAATTCGTTCCCCCATCAGCCTCCAGTATTCTGCTTCGACTCTGAAACCTAAACATAAGCATTTTGTTTAATCTAGATTCATTTCACGTAGCGCACAATCAAATATTTGAAGAAGTTAAAAAATATGTGTTGATTATTTTTACTTGAATATGTACTCGTAAAAAAAAAGTACAATGGAGGACAATGCGGATCCATTGAACACTGTATAATATATATGGGAGAGTTGGTTACAGCCGAAGACATCGCGACAAAAACATCGCGGACGAAAACGTCGCGGAGAAAACCACGAAAGGCGAAAATGTAGTGCTACAAAACATCGTGGGAGAAAACATCGCAGTTCTAAAACATCGTGGTACAAAATATCGTCGTCGAAAATAAAGCGGTTCAAAAACTTCGCAGTTTAAAAACATCGTCGTCGAAAATATCGTGGTAAAAAATAAAGTATCTACAAATCATCGCATGACGATAACATCGCAGACATGCTTTTTTCAGGCTTTAATAATTGTAAATGGATGTTCCCATAATGATTTGTGAGCGCAAGATGGAAAAAAGGACAATTTTTACTTTCATAGTTTTTATTAACTAATACATTTTTGCTGATAAAGTAAGAAAGAAACTTAAGCATAGAAAATTAATGCAACTTATAGCACTTAACCGACATAGTTAACTAGCAAAGGTCATTAATAAATTTATTTTTTATAAAGTTTTTACTGGTCATTTTTCATGAAAAGTATAATCTAAAAAAGATTAGAAAAAGAAAGGTAAGTAACTGCATGACCTTATCTATAAAAAAATTGCTAAATTAATTGTGAGATTATTTTCTTCACTTTTGTTAATCTAATACTCTTATAATGAAAATTATTTCTTGTTTTGCTTCAGTTTTGCACAGCATTTTGAGTAGTCGCTTTAAATTGGATTGCTTAATTTTTTTTTTTTTAAATTTAGACATTTCTTATTAGCACTTTAAAAGTATTATTTAACTTTTCATATTTTATTCGAAAATTTCGTAGTTATTTACTGAACTTACAGTGACCAACTTCCTAAGACAATTTTAATGTTTTTCTTCGATGTTTCTTAATATTCAGAACATCTTAATTTATGCGCTCGAGAAACCTGTAGCGAAATTAATATTTCGGAGTGAGCTTCTATTTTGCGGCGATTCTTTGTCTTCGGAATTCTTGGCGCCTAGCAACTTTGAAGCGACTAATTTTTCTTGTAAATTTTTAATTAAAGATAAAATTTAATGAAATAAAAGATTAATTTCCCTTAAATTGTTTTCAAGGATTAAAAACTGCACACATTTTACATTGACTTTTATTTTCAGCGACTGAAACGTTTCAAGTACAATTTTTTTTTTGTAGTTAAATGACAAACTGTTTGGAATAAGAAACTATGATATTTTTATGTATCATTTTAAATGTTTTATAAACATATGATTTTGAATATCAACCATAACTAAATTTTAAAATTCGTTTTCGCTTCGTTGCATGATTATTTTTAATTAAAGTAACCATAAAGAATATTTTTTCAATAAAATGAAAGTATTTAGTGCTTCTACGCATTAAACTATTGGAAAAAGATATCTTGGAAGAAGGCATATTAATTTTTATAGTTTACGTTTTAAATCGAACAAAAGTATCTTTCCGTTTTAATAATTTTACAAATCTTAGCTTTTTTTCTGTAATGAACTAGTTTTAGTTTCACAGTTCATAATAATAAACAAAGATATACAATGAATTAGCTAAATCAATGAGAGATGTGTTATGAGGTAAATGTAGAATTCATTTTATCCATGTAAACCACTGTAAATAACAAATATATTAATTGCTTGTCTGATTTTTGATGATTGAACTGAAACAAAAAAACACAGTACTTTTAAAACATTATATCAATTTCATTTACTTGTAAAGCACTTATATTTTTTCATTTCTTTTTTGTATATTATTCTCATTATTTACGTAAGCTATTATTTACATAAAGTTTTATGCCTTAAAATTTGCTTTTACGATTTAATGTATTTATAATTTTTGCGTGTAAAGAACGAACAGCAAATTTTTAACGTTATTTTGACAGAGTTAAAACATGTTTCAGGAAAATCTGTATATTTCTCTTATTGATCTGAAGAAATATTTAATAATAAAGAAAAAAAAAAAAAAAAAAAAAAAAAAAAAATGCATATTGCCCAGCTCTAAAAACACACTGCTTAAAATTTATATAATTAAAAAATATATATATTTAATTTTGGAAAATCTTGTTACTCAGATTCTAAATATTTTCCATTCTCAGCGACAAAGTTTGAATTTATGATGTTTTTATCATACGTATAATCAGGAAGTTTCGCCTCCTTAATCGAACTACATGGATATGTCATTTTATTGGAAAGAGATTAAAATGTTGTATTATTCATTATTCGTATTACTGAAGTTTGGCCAAAAAGAAAAAGAAAAAAAAAAAAAAAAAAGGAAAAAATGTCAATTAAATCTATATTTTTAATATAATTCTTTGATGGAATTATATATTAATTAAATAAATCTGTATGTATGAATACATATATGCAAAAGAGGCAAAGGGCTTTATCAAAACCAAACAAGGAAGGGCGGTCTAAACATGTTTGGTAACAAGGAGCTCCTTGTTTGGTAAACTCTAAACTAAGCTTTTCTGGGTTCTCTTTTTAAACTGTGTAATAGCTGTAAAACATACAAATACTAATAAGATAAGAAATGCTATTTCTGTTCTGTACGTGGAGCATCATCAGTAATGACTGAAATTTTCAGCTGTCTTTTATTAACCAAATAGCCTTAAGCGGCTAGAGGAGACAGATCATGGAGGTAGGAAGGCATGAGACAGATCCCCAGGAGTTAAGCTTGATCAAAACACCCTTATGGTTCTAACGGTTGACTCTCCTAGCTGTAATTCGTCCCTCCTGCCCTCCGCCGAGCTTTTTAGCAGCTTAATTCACCCCTTCCCTCTGAGTTCAGCCGCTTAGCTTGTTTTTCAACGCAATTCTCAAAACTAAGCTCCAAGCGTTAGTTTCCCGAAAGTTCCTAATTGCTTTCATCTAGCATACAGATTACTACAGTTTCCAGCCAAACCCGGATTCTCACTTCTCTTTTCAAACAAATATATACTACAGTCAAAAGTCGTTAATCCAGACTCGTCGGGACTTCGGCGATTCCGGATTATCGATTTTTCCGGATTATAAATCATCAGTTTAAATCTCGTAAGATGGCATGCGGAAATTCTAAAATTAAAAATATGAAACCGTAATTTATGAAATAAAGAACAATTATGATCTAAAGGGTATCAAAATTTACAAAAAAAAGCTTAATATTTATTTGTTTACTTTATTAAACATTTCTTTCAATGTAAGTTAAGTTGCTTCGTTTTATGTGATAATACTTTCTCTTTAATTCTATAAACAGACATAATTTTTTGTTCAGTTACAAAGTTCCGCTGTTCAAGTCCCGTAATTGATGTGCCGAGAATACCGACTAACTTGTCAATCGAAATTTTTTCGTTTTCACTAACCTCTCTGTCACCTTCTTCATGTCTTTATCCATTTTTTGCAGCAATTCCACTTTTTGTTTGACGGACGTCGAAACAT